GGCCGCCCCGCGGAGGCGGAGAGTGGGGCCCGCGGGGAAGGCCTGTGCGGAGGGGAGCCGCCCCCGGGAGCTGCCCAGAGGGCTTTCCCCTTCAGTGCCCCTTCTCCGTGAGGTTCTTCGGCTTTAGCCGATTAAAATTGGCTTGTGCGGCGGTGGCTGCTTTTCCCCTCACGGTTTTTTTTTGTTTCTCTCCGTGGAACACCTTTCCCGTGGCTGCGGGTCCCGTCCGGCGGCCTGGCATCGCCCGGTGCTGCTGGGGCTCCCCCCGCATTTGAGGAAACGCCACCTCGAAGAGCCCCTTTTTGTCTGAGAACGCCGGTGGCTTGGGTTCCTTTAACAGATTCTTTGAAATTACAAGCTTACAGGATGTGAAAACCCTGAAAGGAGTCTTTAGCGTCCCAAAATAAGACTGGTAGAGACTTTTAATTTTTTTTTTTTAAACGCATCAGCGTCTCAGACTTGGCAGGTGTTTCGTGGCACAGGCTAGAGGTAGACATGGCAACAAAAAAAAAAACCCGCAGTCCGGTGCTGTCACAGCTTTGTTGCTGTGTCCCTGCAAGCTGTGGGGATCTAAGAAATTACACCTGCCAGGTGCCAAGGTGATAAACTCAGAGAAGGTTCTTGGAACGTGGATATCCAAAAATAAGTTAACTTCCTGTTTTCTGAAAGCTTTTTTTTTTTTTTCTTTTTTTTCACTCAGTGCTGTCTACAAGTGCTTTCTTGAAAACTATGTTATCACTAGCTAAATTTTATGCCTACAGGGTGCTATTTCTTTAATAGCAGGTTTTCATGTGATGCCTTGTATTCCCCCTTTCGCTTCGGTGACTAGTTGTAGGGGTTTGTGCTAGGCAGGGAACAGTTAATTAGCTTTAATTGCTGGCAGTGGCTTAGCTTCCCCAGAAGGGCGGTGGAGGACAGGCCATAACTACCGGTCTGATGGCAGTAATTAAGACTAGTTAGCTGTTCTGTGGCTTGAGTCAAAATGCTGTCATCTTCCCCCATGAATTCACCTGCAAACCACTTAGGAGTAAATTTACAGCTTGGAAAGCTGTATAAGTAATGATCATAATAGGTGTATTTCTTCGAATCTTATTCTCTAATTGCTTTATTATGGTAAATAATTCAGCGATAGTTGCAAGTTGAAGGAAAATATTTCCCGAGTGATGCTAACTGAAGTACTTTATCTGAAAGTTAGGTTTATGCTAATAAAAAACTTCAGGTAGAGTTCTAGCTTTGACTGGAGTGCTGTCAAATACTGACCTTGTTAAACAGAATCTTAAATCTAACATAAACTTGGGGCGAAACAGCTCCTTTTAGACAAACATTAGGTGGTTGACTAAGATTTTTTTTTTTAAAAGAAATTAGGAGTGTGATCTTGAAATGCTGTTTGGCATTTAACAGCGATTTCAATGGAAAGGCTACGGGAGAATGATGGCAATAAGAAGAAAGATCTATTTAACAAAAAAACCCACCAACCCATAATTGGGCTAGTCCTTGCTGTGGGTTTTTATGTGTGTGTCTGTATATATATTGTGGAATGAAATGTTTCTACAAAACAAAGTCATCAAAGCCATGCTGTTACAAATAATCCCTTGAACAGCTGGCAAATGGACAATTTTTTTTTTTTTTAATTTATCATTACATAGATAATAGAACTTAATGGTTTCCTGATGTACTTAATACTCTAAAATGTGCTAATTATTTTCTGTTTGGAGGGGTTATTTAAGCTATTCTAATTCTAACTCTCAGTATATTTAAATATGTCTAAAATACTCTGATTTCTCAATTAATAGAAATTTTCTTTTCCATAAGTTGAAGTGTTACTTGCGTTTAGTGTAACTTCATCCTTGTACTTTTTAGTTAAAGTTGTGTGAAGCTACTTCTATTGCGCTTTTATTAAATCTAAATGATCATTGCACTGGTTTTCTCTGCCTAAGAAATGGGTTTGCATAGAGGAAAAGTGGGTTCCTTTTATCTTTTACGTTAAAATTTAACTAAATAGATGAAGAGCTAATTATGCTTGATATACATCCTCCCCAGATCTCAAAGCTTTTGAACGAAGACTTACTGAATATATTGCATGTTTGCAACCTGCTACAGGACGTTGGAGAAGTAAGTTTGATGTTCCGAGGGATAAACAGGATTCTCTCTTTCAAGCTTTTTAGATTTATTAGTGTGTATCTTTGACTTATGTTTGCCTATACAAAAATCTGTGCTTAAACTCTCTTTAAAGTTTCTGTGGCATACATTCAAACACTCTGCAACAAGATACCAAACTAATACTTCAGCCAGAGTTAGAAAAATGAAGTCAAGATTGAATTGGCTCAAGGCTGAATTACTCTGGAAATAGTTGGGGTAGTAAGTTGTATTTGTTTCTGGTTTGGTTTGGTGCTTTGTTGTGTGTTGGTTTTTTTTTTTTTTTTCCAAGGCTCAGACTTGCCAGTCAGTCACTATAGTTACTTGAACTAGATACGATTGGGTTAGATAGTGCCTATAAAATTGAAAGTGAAAAAGTTAAAGCAGCATGCCTTAAGGGCAGAATATGTCCTCGTCTCTGTTCTAACAGGAAAGTTTACAGGAGGAGGGAATGCAAAAATACCACCGAGATGCTGTCGACTTTGAGATCATTATGGTGGAAACAGACTGGTTTTTTTTGTTCTAAGATTCTGCTGAAGTTTCCATCCTCAACGAATACAAACATTTTTTAGAATATATAAAGCAGCATCTTTTTTCCAGAGAGGCCAAGAGGTTAATTCTAAATGAAGGAACTGGAAGAATGACTACTTAAAAAGCAAAACTTCAAAAAAAAAACCCCAGACCACCCCACCCCAAACCCCCTTGTTTCAGAGCAATTGGGAGGCAAAGCAGATATTTGTAGTAAGTCTACACAACTTGTGTGCACCTACTGTAGGAATGCATTTGGCTTCTAGAGTTGTCAGATGGAATTTAAAAAAAAGTACTGGAAACTTCTAAGCATATTTAAGTGAGGTTTGCATAACTAGTATTGTGTTTATGAGCTAACTTAATTTCCCAACTGCTTGTTTTGCTGGTTTTGTAATTCATGTAGAAGAGGGACTTTTTACTTTAATTATAATGGAGTATTTAACCCAGTGTGAACTTTTCATCTTGTTATCCCGGAAAAAGAAAATATTTATATAGAGAACAGCTCTATGCTTTTGATAGATCTTTTCCAAATTTATTTTGAAAACATAACTTGTTAGGGTTACCTTTTTTTTTTTAAATAATTTATCATGTCAAAAGCAATATGCAACTCGATAGTAAATTATAGCAGTCTTACAAGCCTGAAAGTGGTATTTCATCAACATCTGGGTTTTGTTTCCAGGTTCTTTCCTATGATCCTAAAGGCTGGTAACTCTGGGTCTTCTTTTTTTGTGTGTGTGTTGGTTTTTGTTTTTCCCCCTCTCCCCTGGTTTATTTGCATCCAGAACTGCAGGCTCCTCAGAAAGCACTCACAACTTTATGGGTGTGCAATAGAATAGGAGCTTTCTCTACCTTCATATCTGTTCTGTTTTCTTTTTTCCATCAGCTCCTGTTCCCCAAACCTTTGTGGTCTCTCAAAATCAGCCTAGTATCTTGTGTTATTCTGATATGTTTCTAGCATTATCCATTTACAGTGAATTGATGATTCATTCTGGACTCGTAGAGGTTTTTGTGCTAATGCTAATATGCCTTCTAACTCCTGTTTAAAGTTTGTGATTTTTTTTTTCTCTGTTAGCTTTCCTCGATTGTAATGGTGGGGAGCATAACACAACTTAGATGTGCCCCTGAAATTGCTGGTGCTCATGTCTCAGGCTTTTCTAACGTACAAGAGCTAATGGGGTAGAAGCTTTATTTCTGCTCTGCAATTTAATGGTGCTGGAGTTCTATTGCCCAGACTGTATAACCTCCAATAGCATACCCAACATTTGGTGCCATTCTTACTCCAATCTTCCAGCTCATATTTTTTGCTAACCATGCTATTTTAAAAACTTTAATTTCTTGAAAGCATCAGGATGTTTTTACTGGGCAGAATTTAGATTTTTGGTACCTATTTGTCCTGTCCAGGAAACTCGTATGGAATCTTTACGGTTTCACCTAATAGAAGTTTCTTTGCCTATTTTGATTGCTACCTTCCAAGTAGAAGCTTTTCCTCCCTCAGACGTGGGAGAAGAAATAAATGCTTCAGAGCTGCTACTGAAAAAATAAATGCTTTTTAATCTGAGTTATACTGTTCATGACTCTCGTTCTTTTCTTCATCAGTGATTCTGATAGTGGTATCAGTCTGCACAGCAACTGGTGCTTGGAACTGGTTAATAGACCCGGAGACACAAAAGGTAAAGATCAGGCTCATCCCAAACGTAGTCTGTTTTGTAGCTTGGTGTTGCAGTCCAGTGGTTTAGGATAGTATCTTGAAAACGAAAAGGCTAAAGGTGGTTTTTCTGTGAAACTGGGAGATCATTTTCACTTAAGCTCTCAATCTGTCTGGAATTATTGTGGAATATGGAATGTGTCCTGGGACAATGCCTAGCAAAATGCTACACCTTGAATGCTTAGCTAAAGAATTGTTCACATTTAGAAATGGCAGGAGCAGTACCTTTTTTTCTTTTTTCCTTAATTAAGTGAACTAGGCAGCAACTTTCTGTATGTTTTAAAAAGTGTGCAGCGGGACTAATCTAATCTCTTTTCTAGGTGTCATTTTTCACGTCACTTTGGAATCACCCTTTTTTCACAATTAGCTGTATTACCCTAATAGGCTTGTTCTTTGCTGGAATACATAAAAGAGTAGTGGCACCATCAATGTATCCTTTGGTTGTGTTTGTCAGGTTCAAAGCCTGGTAGTTAGTGCTGTTATGGAAGCCTATGCCAATATTGCTGTCTCAGTTTTTACTTACTCTGTGTCCAAGTTTTAGCTGCTTTCCTTGACTCAATCCACACAGTATAGCAGCCCGGTGTCGAACTGTTTTGGCAGAATATAATATGTCCTGTGATGATGTAAGTGTTAGTGGTTCATTGCCTAAACCTTGGGTTTGTTTTTTTTTTTTTAAATGCAAATAATTTGAAAAGGCACGCATGCTTTTGATTTTATTTTTTTTCTCAGTAGCACTTGTGTACACCTTAATAAATTCTGTGCCTCTGAAACTGGAATGTAGGACACTTCGTATTGTTCTGTGTGTTGTTTTAGACTTAACCTGTAAAATTGAAGTGTAATTGTTGGCCTCAACTTTCAGGATCTAAACTTTTTTTTTTTCTATCTTGCAGACTGGAAAATTAATTTTGAAACCTAGGCCTCATGTTCAATAAGGGCTTTCTTCCTTCGTTTTTTTTCCACTGCCATGGAAACCAAAAAATGACCTTTTTTTAAGGTAGTATGACAGCAAAAAACACAAACGGGACTGGTTGTCACTGCCTGGGAGTGAAAGTCTTACACATTTGACAGTGAAAAGTGTGCAATATTACTTTCTGGAATATTTATCCAAATTCTTTGTTATCATATTATCAGTGCTTTTGCTACTTCTGATTACCTCTTTTTCAGTATTAGTGTCACTTTTTTTACTTCAGCTAGGACAGAACATACAGGCGGAGTATGTTAATCGGCTACGAAGTTGGAACTTGAAAAATCAAACCTCATTTGTGTTACGTGTCTGTGTGAGCTATTGTAAATAGCAGACCGATGCCAGCGTGCAGGAAAAGAAGTAATATTTGCTGTATGGATTATTTTTCTTTCGTTCTCATGAACAGTATTGAGAGGAACACTTACCATTCCCGCGATGTTTTATGAGCACACTTAACTCAGTACAGCTGTCCTTGTCTCCTGGTCACTCTTTTTTTTTTGGAAAACTGGTTAAACGGCTCGCAGAGAGAGACTGTCTGTCTGTCCATCCGCCTGTGCTGGAGGAAACTGGTCTGACTGTTTGAGAACTTTGCAAATACACCAAGGAATCACATCTGTCAAATTGTACATACAGCGCGCCGGCCGCTTCCGTCGTGGTCGTAGGTAGCTCCTTGTTTGATCTGGTTCACCACACTGCTATTTTAAGGTTTTAATATTTTAAAAAGCGTCTTAAGTATGCTTGTATCTTCCTGACTGTGAGGGTTGTACTGTATCTGAAGGCCACGTGACCATTCTGAGTGGATTTTTATGCTGTGGACATGGAACTCGTATTGGAAATGTATAAATTTGGTGAAGCAGATGGAAAGAGTGCCACAATAAAGCAACAGACCCTGTTATTCAGAGTGGTAAAAACACGGCGTGGATGTTGTGTGAGTAACGTGCAACTTTGGAATGGCTGAAACTGTAAAAGGATCTTAGGAGTTTTAAGTTGTTCAAGGTGCCTTTCTTAATTGTTTCAAACTTTTAATTGACTAAAACTGCGAAGCTGTTGCAACTTGGGTAACTCCTGCTGGGAGGCAGACTGGCTTTTAAAGGCTGAGACCTTAGGAGTTGTCTCCTGTCGCGTTGTCCAGTAAAGTCTCCTGCCCATCCATCATTTTTAACTGCTGTACATTTTGTAGGTAATGTGTATAAAATAAATTCTTTGTATAAACAGCTGTCGCCTTCTTTTGTGCCGTGCGAGCGTGGATCTGGGGTGAAGGGAGAAGATTTTTGGAAGTTTTATGGCTGAAATGTGTTAACTTTCACACGGCGCCGGGGTCTCCTGTGTTTCCTGTGCATCTTATTGTTTAAGATACTGACCCCAGAGAGAAAAATTCCTTCCAGTTTTCCATCCTACAGGTCAACCTGGGATCCGTGAGTGCCGTTTCACTGTGTTCTCTCGGCATTTTTCCCTCCTTTGATGTTATTTTTGGGGGAAAACGTCCAGAATCGATCCATCCCTTGAGGATGTGGCCTCAGCCGGCTGGGGTAAGTCACACACACCCCCCGGTTCCGTGTCGGTGGGCCCTGTGTAGCCAAAAAGGGCGAGCCTTCCCTCCGCGGGGCCAGCGCTGGCCGTGGCGCGGCGGATCCCGCTCCGCGCCTGCGCGGGGTTCGCACACGTGGGTACGCGCCGGCGCCCCAGCGGCGCGGCCCGAGCCATGGGGAAGAGCCGGGCGCGGAGGTTCCGCAGGGCCCCCCATGGCCCCGCCGGACCCCAGCAGCGCCCCGAGGAGGAGGAGGGCGGCCCCGAGGAGGAGCCGGCCACCGAGCTGCTCAACCCCCCCGTCCCTAGAGACGCCCTGAAGGAGTTGGGGGGGTTCGCTGTGCCCGCCTGGGGGGGCGTTCCGCAGTCCCAGATCCACGCGTAGGAAATGCCTGCTGGAAAAGGACTGGGTTTTGGCCACTTGTTGATTGCATTCCTGGTTTTGGTTTAAGTTTTAGGGATAAAAACTGTATTTTAAACTTCCTCTGTGCGTGTTACTTTGGAATCAGAAGTAAAAATCAGTTTTCCTGTAAGTAAATAAATCCCCTTTGTTCACTCATTGAACAAGTCGCTGCTTGATTGGATTTCGGGACTAACATATTTAATCCTTAAAAAAAAAAAAAAGGCAAAAAGAGAGTACAAAAATATATAATCGCATGGGTGAGAACCTCTCACTTTCAGTGAGGTGGGATCTGATGTGCCACTCTCCTCCACTCTGCTCTTTGGCAGATGTTTATCTTTTCTGTTAGATTTCAGTGACTTTCCAGGGCAGGCACTTCTCTTGTATTATTTTTATGGTTTGCAGTTCTTACATCTCACCTAAACCTCTGCTACAGCAGGAGTCAGTGTCATCTTGTGGACATGGGGAACACTTGCTCCTTGTCTTTAGGCAGGTGTTTTTAGTCTAAAGGCCATCTTGTGTTTTCGTATTCTGTGATTTCTCGGTTTTTCTTTATGGTGGCATATGCTATGTCTGTTATGCTTCCTTTCCCCTCCCCACTTTTGTCCTTTTACTTTTTTAACATGGTAATCGAAGGCGGATATGAAGTCTCACCAGTGCCAGCTAGTGTTAAATCTGTGTCTGAACTGTGGCTTTCTTGTAAAACACTCAGAATAGTGTTTACCTAATCATATAGTTAACACACGTAACCCAGGCAAGGATTTATAAATGTCTATGGAAGTTAAAAGCTCTGGATTCTGTAAAGGAGCTGCAGTGCTGGGCCTGCAAATCAAAAGGCAGATGAGTCTTTTCACTCCATAAAAGCTTCCAGCTACCTGTTCCCTCCCCCTTAACCTGCCCTCTTGGTGTGTCCCCAGCTCCAGCATCCCAGTGCCGAGGTGAGAGAGTTTGCCTGTGCCAGCATTTCCAAGCTGCTCCAGCAGAAGCAGGTGATCCCAGCCTTTCTGCAGAGGGACGTGGTGCGGTGTTTGGGACCCTTGCTGATGGACCACAGCTTGGCTGTTCGTGAGACAGCTGCAGGAGCTCTCCGGTAAGTAATTCTTGATATTCAGGGCTAGAATGAGGTTCTCCTGGCATGGTAAAAGGAAAAAAAGAGTGGGGTTTTGCTGGTAAAAGCCGTGCTTGCTTCAGCTGTATTTTGAATAAGTAAACCTCTATCAGTCAGAGCCCTCGAGAGTGGGCTTTTCTTGCTCCATAGTCTGCCATGTCAGGAGCAGGGTTGAAGTTTGTTACTACTGTTTTATCCCCATCCCAATGCGCTGCTCTCCATCCTTATGTTAAGGGAAACAACCAACTGTAGCACGAAGAAATAGAACCTGAACGCTGTTAGGATGGCGTTTTGTGTCTTGGTAACGCTGTAGGAGGGGTGGGTTAGCTAGAGAGTGCACATAGCTGGCTTTTTGAGAAACTTTTAACTATTGAACTGCTTTGTTTTGAGTTAGTATTCTGTGATCAGCCCTTCAGCTTGCTTTATTTGTGCAAAAATGTAATGCTAATACTTCTTAATGTTCACAATGTTCTGGTGTTGTATCTTACACTGAGGAATACCTGACAGAAATACATGTTTTAGTACAGATAAACTTTCTAGTTATGCTAGACAAGTAAGTGGAAATATATATATATATTTTTTTTTTTTTTCCCCTAACACCAAAGTTATTCATATAATCATAGAATGGTTTGGGCTGGAAGGTAGTATTCTGTGATCAGCCCTACAGCTTGCTTTATTTGTACAAAAATGTAATGCTGATACTTCTTAACGTTCACGTTGCATCTTACACTGAGGAATACCTGACAGAAATCATGTTTTAGTACAGATAAACTTTATAGTTATGCTAGACAAGTAAGTGGAAAAAAAAATATATATATATTTTTCCCCCTAACACCAAAGTTATTCATAGAATCATAGAATGGTTAGGGCTGGAAGGGACCTCAAAGATCATCGAGTTCCAACCCCCCTGCCATGGGTTTATCTTAGGAAGGTAGAAGGTAGAAGACTAAAGTTACTGATTAAGCAGACTGATTTTTAAAACATAAAGTAACATAACTTTTAGAGAAGAATACCAAATACGTGAGGTTTTTTTGAAACATCCCTGGAAAATATCCTATCTGATCCAAAGCGTTTATATTTTTTTCCCCCCAGGAATCTGAGTGCTTGTGGAGGATTTGAAGTCTGTGATGACATGGTGACAAAAGACATCATGACGCCCCTTGTCGCACTTCTGAAAGAGGTATGTTTATTTTTATTCTGATTTAAAAACTGTTCTAGCCATTGAATTATCCCATTAAAAAAAAAAAAAAAACAACAAACAGTTTTTATAGCTATTATCAATATAAGATAGTTGAAAGATCTTTTAAAAGACTGCTTCAGTAGATTTAGTAGTACAAAAATTATTCTAGAGATTTCAAACCAGTTGCTTCTTCCTCCTGACCCGCTAACTTGGGTTCATGGTGAGTTTTGCTGCCTGGGATGATTTTTGTGTAACTGGTCTGGAGATTTTGGGATCTGGAACGTCAGTGAAGACGAGTCGGCTCTGTCAGTCGGGATCCAGATCCAACATTTATGCGGCAACATTATTCTAGTGAGGGTTTTTTTGGGAAACTGGTTTGTCTGAATGAGTTTTTGGATTTACACGTGGGTAGTTACTGCTATTGTAGAATAATCTGTACTGAATACCTATTCTTTGTTTGGTCCAGGTGTTGCAGTGCAGTTTGGAAATTGCATTGAATTCTGTCACCTGCTGTCTTTGTATGAGCAGCCTTGAGCAATACCATCATTTTCTGTATGTTTCTTCCCCATTTTAAAAATATGGGTAATAGCATTATTGTAAAGCACAGCAAGATATTAGCTGAATTAATCTTTGTGATTAGAGAGGACTGTTGAAAATTGCATACAGACTGTAATAGCAAGAAACAGCATTTCAGGTTCTAAAATTGCTAAGTATATCCTTAGTTAAACAGTTCTGAGAACTATTGAATGCAAAGCAAGTACTGTTAAGAGTCTTTCTAGAAGAAAAAAAAAATCATCAATGATTCAGTTCTATTGTGGCTCAGTTTTCATAAAGAGTAGGAAAACTTTCATAAAGAATAGGAAACTAGTCAGGTTTTCTGGTAATAAACACTTCATGAGCGATCTCTCCATTCGCTCTGCTGCTAATATTTGAAGTTTTTGCTTTTCTCTTGGCTTGTTTGTTTCCCAACCCTGGTTCTCTTGTTTGGTTGTAGTGTAGCACTGGACTAGATGCTAACCAGCTCTCTCCAAAGAAATGCAGAGAGATGAACAAAAATTATATTGAAGACATAGCCAACGAGGCTATTAATTTGCTGTGGAATGTATGGTAAGTGCTGTGTAAACACTGACCTTTTAGAAGAGCTAAATGAAATTGTTCCTGAGAAAGAACATGAGACAGAAAGGGAATGACTGTCCTTGCATGGGAAAATGTATTCATTTGCCGATTCTGATTTCTGATCATGTTGCTCCTATTGTGCATTGCTTAATAAATGGCAAGCCCTCATCTAATCTGAAATACAAGTTTATCTTCTACCGTAAATTACTTCTGTAACTGAAGGATTCTAAAAGTGCACAAAATTGGTCATTAGTTTTAGGGGAGTGACAGATTTTTATTTTTTTTCTATTGGTTGTTCCTCCTAAGTTCTGATACTGTTTTCTGAACGTGTTCTGTCGTATATATTTATAAGGATATATTCTTATTGTGATATGGGAGATGGAGAAAATTAAATTCCGATTGGTGAACTGCAGAGCTCTGGGAGTATGAGGAGTTTTTGTACTACTACCTCCTCCTGCAGGCCATCCCAAAAGTTAATGTGAAATGTTTGGACAAACTGTCCCTTAGTGACTGAGGCACTGATACAAGTCTACTGCTTGGGTTCATGGTGAGTTTTGCTGCCCGGGATGATTTTTGCGTAAACGTTCTGGAGATTTTGGGGTCTGGAACATCAGTGAAGACGAGTCTGTTCTGTCAGTTGGGATCCAGATCCAACATTATTCTAGTGAGGGTTTTTTTGGGAAACTGGTTTGTCTGAATGAGTTTTTGGATTTACACGTGGGTAGTTACTGCTATTGTAGAATAATCTGTACTGAATACCTATTCTTTGTTTGGTCCAGGTGTTGCAGTGCAGTTTGGAAATTGCATTGAATTCTGTCACCTGCTGTCTTTGTATGAGCAGCCTTGAGCAATACCATCATTTTCTGTATGTTTCTTCCCCATTTTAAAAATATGGGTAATAGCATTATTGTAAAGCACAGCAAGATATTAGCTGAATTAATCTTTGTGATTAGAGAGGACTGTTGAAAATTGCATACAGACTGTAATAGCAAGAAACAGCATTTCAGGATCTAAAATTGCTAAGTATATCCTTAGTTAAACAGTTCTGAGAACTATTGAATGCAAAGCAAGTACTGTTAAGAGTCTTTCTAGAAGAAAAAAAAAATCATCAATGATTCAGTTCTATTGTGGCTCAGTTTTCATAAAGAGTAGGAAAACTTTCATAAAGAATAGGAAACTAGTCAGGTTTTCTGGTAATAAACACTTCATGAGCGATCTCTCCATTCGCTCTGCTGCTAATATTTGAAGTTTTTGCTTTTCTCTTGGCTTGTTTGTTTCCCAACCCTGGTTCTCTTGTTTGGTTGTAGTGTAGCACTGGACTAGATGCTAACCAGCTCTCTCCAAAGAAATGCAGAGAGATGAACAAAAATTATATTGAAGACATAGCCAACGAGGCTATTAATTTGCTGTGGAATGTATGGTAAGTGCTGTGTAAACACTGACCTTTTAGAAGAGCTAAATGAAATTGTTCCTGAGAAAGAACATGAGACAGAAAGGGAATGACTGTCCTTGCATGGGAAAATGTATTCATTTGCCGATTCTGATTTCTGATCATGTTGCTCCTATTGTGCATTGCTTAATAAATGGCAAGCCCTCATCTAATCTGAAATACAAGTTTATCTTCTACCGTAAATTACTTCTGTAACTGAAGGATTCTAAAAGTGCACAAAATTGGTCATTAGTTTTAGGGGAGTGACAGATTTTTATTTTTTTTCTATTGGTTGTTCCTCCTAAGTTCTGATACTGTTTTCTGAACGTGTTCTGTCGTATATATTTATAAGGATATATTCTTATTGTGATATGGGAGATGGAGAAAATTAAATTCCGATTGGTGAACTGCAGAGCTCTGGGAGTATGAGGAGTTTTTGCACTACTACCTCCTCCTGCAGGCCATCCCAAAAGTTAATGTGAAATGTTTGGACAAACTGTCCCTTAGTGACTGAGGCACTGATACAAGTCTACTTAATTATGTGAGAAAGAGTGTGAATTGTTTAATTAGTAGGAATTGGAAACACCAGGTGAAGGAGAAAGGGCAACGCTTTTAATACAGAAATGGCTATAAACGTTGAAGTGATACAAGCCTGTTCTGAAAGTTCTCCTTGATTTTTTTGTTGTTGTTGTTTATCTTTGTAACAGCTCCAGGTCATTATACACTTAGGGCCATACAGAATTTTGTTTTGTACTGTACAGTTTTTCAGTGGAGCTGCCTCTACCTCTGTCTGCATGGCTGCTGGCTTGAGGCCTTCCTTGTAAATTCTTTTGTTTTTTAGGGACTGGAATCTAGAACAGTACAGAAAGTGCTTGCTCAGCATCTTGCACAGAATACATGACCCTTTGTAACTCTGACTCAACAATGTTTTGTGTTTCATTTTTTTTTTTTTTTAATTGGTTGTGTAGACATAAGTGCTTTGGAGCAGGAACTATAATCATGAAGTGTGCTATAAATCACTTCTGTGTTGTGAACTTTGTGGCAGTGACCGTGAACTGCTGACTTCATTGCCAAGTTTGATCCTGATAAAATCAGAGAGGGCATTGCTTTTGAAGATACTATGTCTCAGCATCAGAATTTTGAAGACCCTTGTAGCTAGTTAGGTCCTGTGCTTTTTTAGTTTGAATTTGTCTCGTATTAATACATTAGTTTAAAAATGGGAATAGCTGTGAAAACTTGAAGAAACACAAATCCCACTGTTTGATAAATGTGACGTTTACTGTTATTATCTTTGATGTAGAGTGCATTTCTGAGTGTTAAGAGCACTCAGTTTCTGGAGTAAGTGAATACTGATGAGAGAGGCAGCAGCCTGCTCTGTTGTCAGTCAGTCCGTGGATGAAGTCTTCCATGGCTGCAGAAAGTCCTGGGCTGGCTTGTAGCCCGCAGCTATCAGTTGCCTTTCACACTCTGGCTGGCTCTGCCCGAAAGAGACTGTGTTTAGGCTCCCAGATGAGCTCCTGGATACCGTGTGTGAGGAAGCAGCTGGCAGAAGCCACCTTTCCTCAAAGGTGTCCAGAGTGTTGCAGCCTCCCTTTCTCCATTTTAGGTAGAGTTGATGTAGCTTCAATAACGAAGGATAGCTCTTTGACTCATGTGTAGTTCTTAGGTAGGTTTTTAAAATAGGAGTAATAGTGAGTCTGTGTAACTTAAAATCTTGTTAGGGTAGTTTTTTCCTGGGAAGAGTGTTTTATTATTTTTTTTTTTTTAATGCATTAGTGAATGCAACAATACTGCAGTACACATATTCAATAAAGAGGGATGTCTGGAGGCTGTGTTACATTACATGAAGAAATTTTCCACGAATGTGGATCTGGCTATTTCAGTAGGTAAGTAGTAAAAATAGAAGATAAATAATTTTTTCTTTACGATATGAATGTAACACTGATGTCACATCCCTTGCATAAGGTACCTGCCTTAGCATTACTTAAACTTTACACTGAATATAACACTTTGAATTCCCTTCTGAACAGCACGTCATTCAGAAGTTGGCATCTGTTGTGCTTGTTTGCAGTCCAAAGGAGAACAGCTCATTGGTACTTAAACGGGAGGAAAAATTTTGTGGAAAGAAAGCTCTAGACAGAGGCTGTGTTTTTCGTTTTATTTTCTGGTTTTAGTAATGAAGGGTTTAATTTGTAGAGCAAAGAACATAGTCAGTCTAAAAAAAAACCCAAACAACTCCAATCGCTTTTAACATGGTTTTATTAGTAGCGTTGTTAGTATAGTCTTATAAAGGTCCTATAGATATATGTGCTCAGAGTGTTTTTTGGTGTTGTCCCTAGTCAGCATACAACAGAGGAACTGGATTTTGAGGAGCTGGAATTAATACAGCCAGTTCCATGTGGTCTGGGGTACTGTCCTCACCTGTTTTAGGTACAGGTTTGCCATAGAATGTCTTTTACTGTAAAATGCAGCTTGTGAAGGACAATGTCACACCATTACAACATGATGCTGCATGAAGTGTTTTTTCCTCTGTCTGATGTTTCGTTACTCCAGCTTTCAGGAAGACAATGCTTTCTCATTAGGAGAGTGAAAGCTACTATTGGGTTTATTAATTATCTTTGTTGTTTGCTGCAGCGAACTGCTTGCAGGCGGTGACAGAAGATAATCCAGATCTTCTTTCTTCATTTAATGCTTCTGCACAGCAAGTATTGGAAACGGTGATGTTGTGTCCAGAGAGCACCATGAAGCATATCCTTCTGAGAACACTGATCGCAGGTACGATGCTGGAGGGCGTTCCTTGCTCTGTGATGGTGAGGACAGCAGGTAAAGGAGGGTGGGAAGGACAGAAGGTTTAGTCTTCTCTGCTATAGTCTGGACACTGGATTGTCAAAGCCTGTATAGATGGTTCATGAAGTTATTTCTGCCTTTGGGATTGTGTTTTTTTTGGGATATATGCAACTAGTTTTAAAACTGTCTTAAATGCTTTTGATTCTGAATTCAGTACCTGCTCAGTGTGATAACCCATTTTAGCTGTTCGTTTGGTTTTCAACAGTGAAATGAGTCAATAATAAGTAGCACAGGAATTGTTTTCATCATAGTAGACATAGATTTTTACTTCAGATTCAGTAGCTTGCTTTCTTGTTTCTACCTCAAATGCTTACTCAACCATGGTGATTTTTGATACCGGCATGTAATAAATTAATTTTGAGAATCCTTAGAAAATGGTTATTTCATGTAGGTTTGTTACCACTGGTAAAGTGTCACCAAGGTTACTCCACATAAATATTCTCTGTGTACTTATATGCTGAAATTTACTTGAGCTTAATACGTGGGCATAATGTAGTTATTAGAGATTAATATATGAAATGCTAAACAGAAAAAAATATGAGTCTGTAGAGAAGGAACTTGAACATTCATACTGAAATATAAGCACTGAGTATTTTAGGTAGTGGAGGCTGTGTCCTTACAAAATATACAGCTATTACAGAGCTGGGAATTGAGTTTTAAAATAATTTTTATATTTTAACTATCTCATGCTTAGGCACTATCTGGAATATCAAGGATACCATCCCACCAGGCAGCCTGGGAAGCATGGTTAATGCAATCCTGAAGATATTTTCAGAATCATTAGCAATAGATGCTGGGGAAACGATAATTCGTATGAATGAAGCTGAAAAAAACAGGTTGAAACTTGCTGCGGAGTCAGAAACAGAGGAAAACATGAGTGATGTTATTGACAACTGTGTTGTAAGTGAAGATGACATGGAAGAAATACCAAAAGGAAAAGTCAGGAGAGAAAATGACATTTCAGATCTACTTCCAGTAAGTGTGGCTGGCTGGCTCTCCAAAAGCTTTGTTTGGCTGAGCATCTGACCAGCCTTGACTCAAGTGTGAGCCAGAGTAAACTACCTATGAGTGTTACTAATCCTAACTCCCAATTAGCTTGACTGTTTTAGCCGAAACTTCAAAGAGGAGCATGGAGAATTTCAGCACAACTTGTTCCAATGTGGTTGAGTTGCATGGCACATCAGGAACAGGCTGCCCAGAGAGGTGGTGGAGTCTCCATCTCTGGAGACATTCAAAACCCGCCTGGACACATTCCTGTGCAACCTGCTCTGGGTGGACCTGCTTTGGCAGGGAGTTGGACTAGATGATTTCCAGAGGTCCCTTCCAACCCCATAGCATTCTGTGCTTCTGTGATTTGCATTGTTTTCCTTTAGCAGAAGGTATAGGTTTATCTGACACTTCCACCTGCAGCTACTGTGAGAAGTTCTCATCTCCACTCCTCATCTCCACTCCTGATCTGCCCAGGGAGGTTGTGGAGTCCCCTTCTTTGGAGATTTTCAAGACCCACCTGGATGCAGTCCTGAGTAACATGCTCTGACAAGCTCTAGGCAATCCTGCTTCAGCAGGGGAGTTGGACTAGATGATCTCTATAGTCCCTTCCAACTCTAAAAATTCAGTGAAAATTCAGTGAAATAAGGCGAGTGAGACTTTTAATGTTTGTAACTCTTCAGTCATGAGTGGAGATGACAGAGTCAACAAATGCATTCACTAGTGTGTGTATGTGAAATGAATAACAGAAATAAATGTTTTGTGTTAGGGTTTTAGCTAACATTAGCTAATCTTGTCTGTTATAACTTTAGTGAGGGTGGTGTTTCTTAAAGGTAAAATTTGTTCTAGCATCCAGCAGAAAGATGATAAGCGTCCCCCCCACCCTGTTTGCTTCTTTCTTTCCTTCTTTCTTTATTTCTTAATGGGGAGGGATGAGAAGCATTCCGATTTAAAAACTGATCTAGCCATTGAATTGTCCCATTAAAAATAAAACCAGTCAGTTTTTATAGCTATTATCAATGTAAGATATTTGAAAGATCTTTTAAAAGAATGTTTCAGTAGATTTAGTAGTACAAAAATTATGCTAGAGATTTCAAACCAGTTGCTTCTTCCTCCTGACCCGCTAGCTTGGGTTCATGGTGAGTTTTGCTGCCCGGGATGATTTTTGCGTAAACGTTCTGGAGATTTTGGGGTCTGGAACATCAGTGAAGACGAGTCTGTTCTGTCAGTTGGGATCCAGATCCAACATTATTCTAGTGAGGGTTTTTTTGGGAAACTGGTTTGTCTGAATGAGTTTTTGGATTTACACGTGGGTAGTTACTGCTATTGTAGAATAATCTGTACTGAATACCTATTCTTTGTTTGGTCCAGGTGTTGCAGTGCAGTTTGGAAATTGCATTGAATTCTGTCACCTGCTGTCTTTGTATGAGCAGCCTTGAGCAATACCATCATTTTCTGTATGTTTCTTCCCCATTTTAAAAATATGGGTAATAGCATTATTGTAAAGCACAGCAAGATATTAGCTGAATTAATCTTTGTGATTAGAGAGGACTGTTGAAAATTGCATACAGACTGTAATAGCAAGAAACAGCATTTCAGGATCTAAAATTGCTAAGTATATCCTTAGTTAAACAGTTCTGAGAACTATTGAATGCAAAGCAAGTACTGTTAAGAGTCTTTCTAGAAGAAAAAAAAAATCATCAATGATTCAGTTCTATTGTGGCTCAGTTTTCATAAAGAGTAGGAAAACTTTCATAAAGAATAGGAAACTAGTCAGGTTTTCTGGTAATAAACACTTCATGAGCGATCTCTCCATTCGCTCTGCTGCTAATATTTGAAGTTTTTGCTTTTCTCTTGGCTTGTTTGTTTCCCAACCCTGGTTCTCTTGTTTGGTTGTAGTGTAGCACTGGACTAGATGCTAACCAGCTCTCTCCAAAGAAATGCAGAGAGATGAACAAAAATTATATTGAAGACATAGCCAACGAGGCTATTAATTTGCTGTGGAATGTATGGTAAGTGCTGTGTAAACACTGACCTTTTAGAAGAGCTAAATGAAATTGTTCCTGAGAAAGAACATGAGACAGAAAGGGAATGACTGTCCTTGCATGGGAAAATGTATTCATTTGCCGATTCTGATTTCTGATCATGTTGCTCCTATTGTGCATTGCTTAATAAATGGCAAGCCCTCATCTAATCTGAAATACAAGTTTATCTTCTACCGTAAATTACTTCTGTAACTGAAGGATTCTAAAAGTGCACAAAATTGGTCATTAGTTTTAGGGGAGTGACAGATTTTTATTTTTTTTCTATTGGTTGTTCCTCCTAAGTTCTGATACTGTTTTCTGAACGTGTTCTGTCGTATATATTTATAAGGATATATTCTTATTGTGATATGGGAGATGGAGAAAATTAAATTCCGATTGGTGAACTGCAGAGCTCTGGGAGTATGAGGAGTTTTTGTACTACTACCTCCTCCTGCAGGCCATCCCAAAAGTTAATGTGAAATGTTTGGACAAACTGTCCCTTAGTGACTGAGGCACTGATACAAGTCTACTTAATTATGTGAGAAAGAGTGTGAATTGTTTAATTAGTAGGAATTGGAAACACCAGGTGAAGGAGAAAGGGCAACGCTTTTAATACAGAAATGGCTATAAACGTTGAAGTGATACAAGCCTGTTCTGAAAGTTCTCCTTGATTTTTTTGTTGTTGTTGTTTATCTTTGTAACAGCTCCAGGTCATTATACACTTAGGGCCATACAGAATTTTGTTTTGTACTGTACAGTTTTTCAGTGGAGCTGCCTCTACCTCTGTCTGCATGGCTGCTGGCTTGAGGCCTTCCTTGTAAATTCTTTTGTTTTTTAGGGACTGGAATCTAGAACAGTACAGAAAGTGCTTGCTCAGCATCTTGCACAGAATACATGACCCTTTGTAACTCTGACTCAACAATGTTTTGTGTTTCATTTTTTTTTTTTTTTAATTGGTTGTGTAGACATAAGTGCTTTGGAGCAGGAACTATAATCATGAAGTGTGCTATAAATCACTTCTGTGTTGTGAACTTTGTGGCAGTGACCGTGAACTGCTGACTTCATTGCCAAGTTTGATCCTGATAAAATCAGAGAGGGCATTGCTTTTGAAGATACTATGTCTCAGCATCAGAATTTTGAAGACCCTTGTAGCTAGTTAGGTCCTGTGCTTTTTTAGTTTGAATTTGTCTCGTATTAATACATTAGTTTAAAAATGGGAATAGCTGTGAAAACTTGAAGAAACACAAATCCCACTGTTTGATAAATGTGACGTTTACTGTTATTATCTTTGATGTAGAGTGCATTTCTGAGTGTTAAGAGCACTCAGTTTCTGGAGTAAGTGAATACTGATGAGAGAGGCAGCAGCCTGCTCTGTTGTCAGTCAGTCCGTGGATGAAGTCTTCCATGGCTGCAGAAAGTCCTGGGCTGGCTTGTAGCCCGCAGCTATCAGTTGCCTTTCACACTCTGGCTGGCTCTGCCCGAAAGAGACTGTGTTTAGGCTCCCAGATGAGCTCCTGGATACCGTGTGTGAGGAAGCAGCTGGCAGAAGCCACCTTTCCTCAAAGGTGTCCAGAGTGTTGCAGCCTCCCTTTCTCCATTTTAGGTAGAGTTGATGTAGCTTCAATAACGAAGGATAGCTCTTTGACTCATGTGTAGTTCTTAGGTAGGTTTTTAAAATAGGAGTAATAGTGAGTCTGTGTAACTTAAAATCTTGTTAGGGTAGTTTTTTCCTGGGAAGAGTGTTTTATTATTTTTTTTTTTTTAATGCATTAGTGAATGCAACAATACTGCAGTACACATATTCAATAAAGAGGGATGTCTGGAGGCTGTGTTACATTACATGAAGAAATTTTCCACGAATGTGGATCTGGCTATTTCAGTAGGTAAGTAGTAAAAATAGAAGATAAATAATTTTTTCTTTACGATATGAATGTAACACTGATGTCACATCCCTTGCATAAGGTACCTGCCTTAGCATTACTTAAACTTTACACTGAATATAACACTTTGAATTCCTTTCTGAACAGCACGTCATTCAGAAGTTGGCATCTGTTGTGCTTGTTTGCAGTCCAAAGGAGAACAGCTCATTGGTACTTAAACGGGAGGAAAAATTTTGTGGAAAGAAAGCTCTAGACAGAGGCTGTGTTTTTCGTTTTATTTTCTGGTTTTAGTAATGAAGGGTTTAATTTGTAGAGCAAAGAACATAGTCAGTCTAAAAAAAAACCCAAACAACTCCAATCGCTTTTAACATGGTTTTATTAGTAGCGTTGTTAGTATAGTCTTATAAAGGTCCTATAGATATATGTGCTCAGAGTGTTTTTTGGTGTTGTCCCTAGTCAGCATACAACAGAGGAACTGGATTTTGAGGAGCTGGAATTAATACAGCCAGTTCCATGTGGTCTGGGGTACTGTCCTCACCTGTTTTAGGTACAGGTTTGCCATAGAATGTCTTTTACTGTAAAATGCAGCTTGTGAAGGACAATGTCACACCATTACAACATGATGCTGCATGAAGTGTTTTTTCCTCTGTCTGATGTTTCGTTACTCCAGCTTTCAGGAAGACAATGCTTTCTCATTAGGAGAGTGAAAGCTACTATTGGGTTTATTAATTATCTTTGTTGTTTGCTGCAGCGAACTGCTTGCAGGCGGTGACAGAAGATAATCCAGATCTTCTTTCTTCATTTAATGCTTCTGCACAGCAAGTATTGGAAACGGTGATGTTGTGTCCAGAGAGCACCATGAAGCATATCCTTCTGAGAACACTGATCGCAGGTACGATGCTGGAGGGCGTTCCTTGCTCTGTGATGGTGAGGACAGCAGGTAAAGGAGGGTGGGAAGGACAGAAGGTTTAGTCTTCTCTGCTATAGTCTGGACACTGGATTGTCAAAGCCTGTATAGATGGTTCATGAAGTTATTTCTGCCTTTGGGATTGTGTTTTTTTTGGGATATATGCAACTAGTTTTAAAACTGTCTTAAATGTTTTTGATTCTGAATTCAGTACCTGCTCAGTGTGATAACCCATTTTAGCTGTTCGTTTGGTTTTCAACAGTGAAATGAGTCAATAATAAGTAGCACAGGAATTGTTTTCATCATAGTAGACATAGATTTTTACTTCAGATTCAGTAGCTTGCTTTCTTGTTTCTACCTCAAATGCTTACTCAACCATGGTGATTTTTGATACCGGCATGTAATAAATTAATTTTGAGAATCCTTAGAAAATGGTTATTTCATGTAGGTTTGTTACCACTGGTAAAGTGTCACCAAGGTTACTCCACATAAATATTCTCTGTGTACTTATATGCTGAAATTTACTTGAGCTTAATACGTGGGCATAATGTAGTTATTAGAGATTAATATATGAAATGCTAAACAGAAAAAAATATGAGTCTGTAGAGAAGGAACTTGAACATTCATACTGAAATATAAGCACTGAGTATTTTAGGTAGTGGAGGCTGTGTCCTTACAAAATATACAGCTATTACAGAGCTGGGAATTGAGTTTTAAAATAATTTTTATATTTTAACTATCTCATGCTTAGGCACTATCTGGAATATCAAGGATACCATCCCACCAGGCAGCCTGGGAAGCATGGTTAATGCAATCCTGAAGATATTTTCAGAATCATTAGCAATAGATGCTGGGGAAACGATAATTCGTATGAATGAAGCTGAAAAAAACAGGTTGAAACTTGCTGCGGAGTCAGAAACAGAGGAAAACATGAGTGATGTTATTGACAACTGTGTTGTAAGTGAAGATGACATGGAAGAAATACCAAAAGGAAAAGTCAGGAGAGAAAATGACATTTCAGATCTACTTCCAGTAAGTGTGGCTGGCTGGCTCTCCAAAAGCTTTGTTTGGCTGAGCATCTGACCAGCCTTGACTCAAGTGTGAGCCAGAGTAAACTACCTATGAGTGTTACTAATCCTAACTCCCAATTAGCTTGACTGTTTTAGCCGAAACTTCAAAGAGGAGCATGGAGAATTTCAGCACAACTTGTTCCAATGTGGTTGAGTTGCATGGCACATCAGGAACAGGCTGCCCAGAGAGGTGGTGGAGTCTCCATCTCTGGAGACATTCAAAACCCGCCTGGACACATTCCTGTGCAACCTGCTCTGGGTGGACCTGCTTTGGCAGGGAGTTGGACTAGATGATTTCCAGAGGTCCCTTCCAACCCCATAGCATTCTGTGCTTCTGTGATTTGCATTGTTTTCCTTTAGCAGAAGGTATAGGTTTATCTGACACTTCCACCTGCAGCTACTGTGAGAAGTTCTCATCTCCACTCCTCATCTCCACTCCTGATCTGCCCAGGGAGGTTGTGGAGTCCCCTTCTTTGGAGATTTTCAAGACCCACCTGGATGCAGTCCTGAGTAACATGCTCTGACAAGCTCTAGGCAATCCTGCTTCAGCAGGGGAGTTGGACTAGATGATCTCTATAGTCCCTTCCAACTCTAAAAATTCAGTGAAAATTCAGTGAAATAAGGCGAGTGAGACTTTTAATGTTTGTAACTCTTCAGTCATGAGTGGAGATGACAGAGTCAACAAATGCATTCACTAGTGTGTGTATGTGAAATGAATAACAGAAATAAATGTTTTGTGTTAGGGTTTTAGCTAACATTAGCTAATCTTGTCTGTTATAACTTTAGTGAGGGTGGTGTTTCTTAAAGGTAAAATTTGTTCTAGCATCCAGCAGAAAGATGATAAGCGTCCCCCCCACCCTGTTTGCTTCTTTCTTTCCTTCTTTCTTTATTTCTTAATGGGGAGGGATGAGAAGCAGAAATGGCTGGATTGTATTTTTAATTGACAGCCTGGATACTTTAAATTGTGCTGAAATGTTGTTTTACGAAATTAAATTTGGCTCATATTCTTTCTTTTTCAGTCTGATAAGTGGGAGCTGAAAGAAGTGACAGCTTTACTGATGGCTCAGCAGACTGCTCTGGAAATCATTGTTAATATGTGCTGCAGCGAAGGTGTGTAGGAATCTCTTCCATTGCAAGTGGTGTTGATGCATTTTGTTTCTGGAAAAGGTCATGTTTAGCTTGCTGTTCGGTGATTTTAGCTTTTAAGGGTGAATGCACAGAGACTTGTCCCTGACACCCTCATGTGAGGGGCAGATTGGACTGTAATTTCTATTTTAGTGGGTTTTTTTCTTGTTAAATAATTTCTATCACGTTTGTTTGGGTTTTTTTTGCATGATGCTACATGTGCCAACATTTAAGAACAAACAAAAAAGCGCTTGTGCTGAAGAGATACTTCCTAAAAAATACTACAGCAAATTTTTGGTTTGGTTCGAGTGTGGTCTGACTGTTTGTCTGATACAGTATGGGTGTGAATCCTAGTGCAGGAGTGGGGCATCAATGTTTTTAAAGCAAATAAATCTTCTGGTTTTGATTCAGCTTTGATACTACAAGTGTAGCAAAAGAAAGGGGAGAGACGGCTTTTGCATGCAAAGCTGACAACAACCCAGATTTAGGCTGTTCAGAGTTCTGCCTTTATGAACCTTTTCTCTACCTTTATGGAGGAGAAAAGAAGGCTGTTACTCTGGGGGGAATGGGAAATAGATATTCTGTATCTTCTATGAACTCTGGTAATCAGTGTCGATAGCTTTTCTCCAGATCTTCAGGAAGACAAATAAATGATTCTCAAATTCTGTCTCAAACAAACTCCCTAAACACCAAAAAACTCCTCCAAAACCTGAAAATTGTAATTGCTAGTACAGTTTGAGAGCCTGATGCAAAAGTAATTGTGTGGGAGACAACTTTCTAAGTAAATCTTTCAGGTTCTAATAAAATCCACAGTAATACCCAGAAATTCCCAATGGTGATTTTTTTTTTTTTCCCTCTTGCAGCGCAAGGAAATTCCACACCTAGTAATATGAAGCGCCTTTCATAACTGAATTTCTCATCTAATGAGCTGTAATTCATAAGCTCTCCCCTTTAATTGGAAAATCTCTTGTGGATAAGCTGCATATTCTGCCATTCACTCAGTGTAATGTAAGGTTGATTGTGTTGTATTTCACGACAGTACTTTACCCATTCACAGGCAGACAGAAACATAGTCTGGAGAAATTAAAAGGAATCCAGAGGCAGCTGTTCATTTAATTTTCGAGTTATTTGAGGACTAAAATAGCTGTAGCCATTATGCTGAGTTCATAGAAACACTCAGCTTGCCACAGAACTGAGGGAAAGCAGCAGGCTGGCAAGGGATGTGTTTTACGGAACGCCGGCCGGCGTTTGGAGGAAGCAGAGTGCTCTCCCCGTAACGGGGACATGGGAGGGAAGCCAGGGGACTCCAGTCTGCAGCTCGTGGGGCACTATTGCTGGTTAAGATGGGATTGCCCTTGGAATTGCTTCTGTGTTTCCAAGAACGGCACAAGAAACCTGATCTTAGTTATGGGCTGATGTGCCAGAGCGCGGTTCCCGCCGTGCCCTGGCCACTGGCTGTGGACACAGGACCACTGCTCTCTGTCTTGTTGCTGGACTGCACGGGCAGCTGCGGTGCCCTGGCCACTGGCTGTGGGCACAGGACCACTGCTCTGTCTTGTTGCTGGACTGCACGGGCAGCTCGTATAGTGACCATTTCATTTGCAAAGGAGATTTTTGTTTGCTTTGCTTTGTCATTTTTTAGAAGAGGCAAGAGACTGACTGAGAGGGGGATGTCTGCTTTGTTTTCCTGCTTGTTGCTACTGTGGGTTGGTAAAGCATAAAAGAAGCATTTTCTCCTGCAAAGGCTATTAACGCCAGCATATTATGCTGTAGAATTAACTGGCTATTACCATAAGCAAAAGAAGATGCCCGTGTGACCAAGTTGCCACAGCCTGATGAGTAACTTTGCATCAGATAAACAGGAGTCATCAGCTTCAAATCCCTTGTTAAGCTGCTGCTCCGTGCAGGTGAAGTGTGTTCAGTTGGACCTTCCTTGCTGGATTTTAAGTAAATGAATTTACTTTTTGCCACAGAAGAAGTGCATGGCTGTTACTACTACACTACCTAGATCTCATGTGAATCTGTGTTGGCAGACAAAATTAATTGGGGTGAATATGATATTTTTTTTATGCTAGTAGTTAAATAGCCTGACCTATGTCCGCGGGCAGAGCTCTCGCCTGCCGGTGAGGAGGATCGGTCCAACCTGTCGACTCAGGGCTTGTGTAACACCAGTGTCACACCAGTTAAAATGTAACTAGGTTTAAAATAACTTTAGATAAATCGGTGTGAACCCTGTGGACGTAGATAAATGAGTTCAAATATAAATGACGACTTAGCTTGTGCTTGTTAGGCCAGGTCTGCCCTGAGCCATGGGGTTCACTTTGTGGTAGGTGTGCCCGTTGGTGATACCTCAGCCCCTCACACTGTGCCTGCCCTTACACCTCTACTAGTAGAGTACATCGTGTACGTATAAACCCTGTTTAGGTTTTGAACTATAAACCTGGTTTAATTTACTCAAAACACGCTGCCTGAAGTGGCTAACAGAGATGATCTGGCTTGCTTTGCTGCCATCAGTTCCTTTCAACTGACCTTGCTGTGGAGACAGTAACATCTCCATCCAGCCCAGTCAGAGGACATCTGTTTGTGGCTTCAGTATTGCCGGAGGAAAGAGTTGCCTTAAACTGACTGCAGTTAGTAAACAAGTGAAGTTAAACTGGTACATTTGTATGCTTGAATCTACCTCAAAAAATAAAATGGTACAATCCAAGTTAAAGTCTCAGAAAATGTTTTATGAAATGTTTCTTCTCTACCTTTTTTGATATCTTTAAGTGAAGTAGAGTGAAGTACCTGTGTATGAAGAACCTCTCTCATAAGAATACTTCTTGCCTGAGTGAATATTAAATGAACGCTTTTTTAAAAAAATAAAACAATTTAAACAAAAGTAGTATAATGTTTAGAACTGCAGCTTAATGGCACTTGGTTTGTGTTGTATCTTCTATGAACTCTGGTAATCAGTGTCGATAGCTTTTCTCCAGATCTTCAGGAAGACAAATAAATGATTCTCAAATTCTGTCTCAAACAAACTCCCTAAACACCAAAAAACTCCTCCAAAACCTGAAAATTGTAATTGCTAGTACAGTTTGAGAGCCTGATGCAAAAGTAATTGTGTGGGAGACAACTTTCTAAGTAAATCTTTCAGGTTCTAATAAAATCCACAGTAATACCCAGAAATTCCCAATGGTGATTTTTTTTTTTTTCCCTCTTGCAGCGCAAGGAAATTCCACACCTAGTAATATGAAGCGCCTTTCATAACTGAATTTCTCATCTAATGAGCTGTAATTCATAAGCTCTCCCCTTTAATTGGAAAATCTCTTGTGGATAAGCTGCATATTCTGCCATTCACTCAGTGTAATGTAAGGTTGATTGTGTTGTATTTCACGACAGTACTTTACCCATTCACAGGCAGACAGAAACATAGTCTGGAGAAATTAAAAGGAATCCAGAGGCAGCTGTTCATTTAATTTTCGAGTTATTTGAGGACTAAAATAGCTGTAGCCATTATGCTGAGTTCATAGAAACACTCAGCTTGCCACAGAACTGAGGGAAAGCAGCAGGCTGGCAAGGGATGTGTTTTACGGAACGCCGGCCGGCGTTTGGAGGAAGCAGAGTGCTCTCCCCGTAACGGGGACATGGGAGGGAAGCCAGGGGACTCCAGTCTGCAGCTCGTGGGGCACCAGCGCTGGTTAAGATGGGATTGCCCTTGGAATTGCTTCTGTGTTTCCAAGAACGGCACAAGAAACCTGATCTTAGTTATGGGCTGATGTGCCAGAGCGCGGTTCCTGCGGTGCCCTGGCCACTGGCTGTGGGCACAGGACCACTGCTCTGTCTTGTTGCTGGACTGCACGGGCAGCTCGTATAGTGACCATTTCATTTGCAAAGGAGATTTTTGTTTGCTTTGCTTTGTCATTTTTTAGAAGAGGCAAGAGACTGACTGAGAGGGGGATGTCTGCTTTGTTTTCCTGCTTGTTGCTACTGTGGGTTGGTAAAGCATAAGTAGAGTGAAGTACCTGTGTATGAAGAACCTCTCTCATAAGAATACTTCTTGCCTGAGTGAATATTAAGTGAACGCTTTTTTAAAAAAATAAAACAATTTAAACAAAAGTAGTATAATGTTTAGAACTGCAGCTTAATGGCACTTGGTTTGTGTAGCCTTCATTAGGGCCCGAGAACTTCTGAATCAAGAGCTGGAGCTGAGTATAATTGAGAAGTAGAATACCTATTGTGTGAGTGCTCTTACATTGACCAGTCTGTCTTCTGTTCTCAGATCCCTCTGATGACGAATGGGAAGAACTCTCCAGCAGTGATGAAAGTGACTTGTTTATGGAAAACTCATACAACGAAGGGAGTGGGCTGCTAATGTCACCCCTGTGCCTCTCTGATGAGGTTAACTCAGCATTTCTGAACAACCTTATTCCAAAGAAGGTATTGTCTTTTATTTTATTTCCAATACATGGTACAGTCTTTCCCCTGTGCCTGATTTGTATCCCAGGCTAGGCAAAGAAATTATCCCAATCCATGTGAGGAAAGGAATATTTTTAAAAATCAGTTGAGCTTTGCTTTTTTTGGCCTAGAGGTGGAGCATCATCACCTGAGCTGCCTTGACCTAAATAATTTCTTCATGTAAGTGGGAATAGAAGGTTTGTGTGTTTCAGAAATCTGGTGCTTGCTTTTTTTTCTTATTTTTTAAATTTGGCTCTTCCAAAATACAAAGGTGGTTATTCCTTGATTTGGACGTGAAAGAGATGACGTGCCAAAAGGAAGGAAGCTTTGGGTAGTGCTGGAAGAAATGTTTGACACTGACAAGAAGATGACCTGCCAAAAGGAAGGAAGCTTTGGATAGAAGCGTGACTGCTGGATTTCCATGTTAGCTAAGTGAGGTGGAAGAAACGTATGTGAACGGCAACAGTCAGCACTGAAAAAGTGCAAGTTCCTCTTTCCTCCTGTTGTAAACACAGTGCTGGAAGAAATGTTTGACACTGACAAGAATTCAGATGTTCTTGTTTCAGAGTTGTTTTGCTCACTCTTACTTGGGGCTCTAAAGATGAGGTTCATCATTTGAATCCATCGTTATGCTCGTTCAGTAGCATGGTAGAATTCTGACCCAAGACATAAGGTGTGAGATGAAAGAATTCAGATGTTCTTGTTTCAGAGTTGTTTTGCTCACTCTTACTTGGGGCTCTAAAGATGAGGTTCATCATTTGAATCCATCGTTATGCTCGTTCAGTAGCATGGTAGAATTCTGACCCAAGACATAAGGTGTGAGATGAAAACATTCAAGGCTTTTTGTATTTAATAGCAAGCAGTCTGAGTTTCGTGGCAAGGTCTTTTAGGCTTGCAGCTATCTGAAAATTCTGTAGCAGAATCTGTAAGAAGAAAGATTTAAATAAAAAGAGAATAGCAGAGACCTAAAAAATCACCCTTTGTTCAGTACAGTTGGATACTTAAAATATGCTATGCTTAACCCAGTGTATAATTGTACCAATTGAGTGACTGAGGAAGATTCTAGCATTTTTAGCAGATGAGACACTTGCTGCCTGGAAAGCTTTGAAATACATAGTTTGAAGTATCTGTTTGACATTAAGCTAAAATTTCCATCTTCCCCCCCAAACACCTTAAAGAAAAAAAAAGCTTTATTGCTAAACCTTTCTTTTTCCCCTCCTCAGATTCTTGAAAAAACTGCTTTTCCGAACAGTGTTGCTCTAGACATCTGTATGCACAATCCGTCTTGGAAACCATTAATTAAAAAGTAGGAATTTCATTGTCTCTTTTACTATTTTTCATGTATATTCACTTGTTTTAGAACTCTTAAAAGGATTGTCCATCTTTGGGTTGCTTTTAAGATCTGGACGGTGGCAGACCTGATACATGATTTTGAATAAAGAGATACAAATATTTGTGTAAGCTGCACACTGGATCACAGCCTTATTTAATTAATCTTTGTATGTTGACATCTGTTTTCAAAGAGATCTGCGAAGTGCGTTTTCTGTTTGTTTGTTTCAGACTGAACGCGGTGCAGTGCAGAGCTCTGACGTGTCTCCACAGCATTTTGTTAGTGTCAGACGTGGATTGTCTCGGAGGAGCTTCAGCACTTCAGTCCCTTGCACAGCATCTCTCCCAGCTGGTCTTTTCTAAAATGGGTAAGATGTTAAGCTAAAGGGGGCTTGCTGACCTGTTTCGTAAGGTGGCCATGAAAGTTGTTAAGCTTTAATGCCGTTATAGCACTAATTTTAATACCTTTGGACTTTCAAAATAAGGATACTGGATGTTGGAAATGTGCTGGCAAAACAGTGTATCCTGATAAGATGTGTTTATCCAAACTGTATCTTGATCAAGTATGCAAAAATACGTCTGTGCACACACACAGAAAGTCACAGCGTTAGTGGATGGATCCTGCCTTGCTGTGACATCAGAACTGTTTGCTTGGTCATAATTGGGATAATAGCAGTTTTTCATCAATCAGACAAGCCATGAAGACGACAGGACATTTTCCTTTGAAATGTGCAAACTAGTCTGAATAGACAGGTGGCAAAAAGGGGTATCTAGCACGGTCTTTCACATAATTTTTTCTAGGAATCTTACAAAATTATGGCAGAGGTGGTTGTTGCAGAAATCTGCAGAACATATGTGTTTATTACAGTAGGAAACATCGCAGCTGCCTTGTCTCCAAGACATGCTTTATGCATGTGATTGCATAGCTTTATTGAAAATACAATTGTAATAAGAAAACGTGCAAAGTTTTTATGACTAAATATTAAAGCTGCTTAACTTCCTGTCATGGTGGCGGTTCGATTTTAATGGAGAAGACAATACATTTCTTTTTTCCTAAAAATACGGCTTCAGAATATCAGATATATCCTGGTAAACACTATAATGTATCCACTGTAGTGCCTCCAAGGCATATTATTTCATAGAGATACTGCGATGGTTTCCCCATAGATCTGCTGGTATCAATGTTATTGGATGGGCTAGTGTAGATATGCAGCAGTTAGCATTTCCAGCTACCTCCTGTAACCTTATACATCAGATCAGCATCATTCCAATAATTCTGTTGGACCATTTGCACTGTGATCTCTCTGTTACTCACACCAGAAAAGCTGAGCTGAGATTAAAAAAAAAAAGGGGGGGGGACGGGACGGGACACCCCACCCCCAAAAAACCTGGTTCCAAGCTGATGATCTGGTTTCCTGATGAGCTGCTTCATTCAGACTATTCTGATAATCTGGTTTTGTTTTAAGGTCAGCGATGATGGCTTTTTAAAAAAATAGAAGATACTCTTTAAGGCTGGAAAAGCTTGCCAATTCTGAACATTGTCAAAAAACAGTCTTTTCCGAAGATAGATCTGTTGAAGTCTGGCATATGCGTGGCTTTGTCATTTCTTGTCTGTTAAAAGCTTGAGAAGCTCAGTTTTCTTCCCTTGCTTCAAGCGTCTTCATTTGTAGCCACAAATGTGGTGTATGTAGCTCTCATTTGCTGTAGAGTATGACACTGCATTAATGCTCCAAAATGCAGCTGCCTGCAAAGCACACTTTTTTTTCTCAATGTCATTAAAAGCATGTGATCAGTCTATGGGAACATTCTTACTGAGGGCATCGTGCTTGAAAACCTAAAATGCAGGAAATGAAAATAATCATGAAGACACATGCGAGGAAGTTCATGTAAAGTGTCTGCCTCGTGCTTGAAGAGCAGCACTTGCAAGATTTCAGGGTCTACACGTTGTGCTTCGCAGGAGTCAAAAAGCTCTTGGATTAAACTGGGGAAATGGTGAGCTGAAGACAGAGGGTGCTAATAAATTAGTTTAATGGCCCACATCCATTTTTGTTAACATGCAATTTTTTTTATAATTAAATGCTATGTAATGGAAAATGCTAGATAGAGTTGATAACATGCCGACATGTGGTTAGAAGGAATTTTGTGGTTTACAAGGTGAGAAAGAGACATAAAGATCTAGTTGCTTACGTGGGAAAAGAGGAGACATGTGAAATTGTCGAGAGTTCCTGCATCTGGAGCACTCCAGAAAATCAGAAAACGTTAGAGGAAACTGAAAAGCTTCAAGAAATGCAGAACGTGTATTGGAAGCGATGGCTGGTATTGATGAAGTTGAACAAGAGTCATGCAGTGTCTGAATTGTACATGTCTGAAAGGTTATTAAACCACTGGAAACCACACTCTGCATATGAATTGGAATGAGGCCAGCATTCTGGGTGTCTAAAAAGCCTGCTTAGAAGACAGAAGAAAGGAGTTAAAGTACACAGCCAGCTTCTATAGTTTTCCCAATTCCTGCATTATGGCCTCATTGTGATTCCAGTTTTCAAGCTTTTGTTCTAAGGGCAGTGGTTTGTACTATACATTATGTGTCTTAACCAGGGATGTGCCTGAAAATGAGGCCCTACTGTGGTCTGACCTCCAGATGCAATTAATATTGAATTCAAACAAATCGCTATGGTTACAACCTACAAAGACCAGTCTCTGAAAATCTAGCTCTTCCTGTTTGTGGTAGTACCTGGAGGAACAATTAAAGGATTAAGGAATTTGTATTTCTTTGCTTCTTGTATCCTTCATCTTCCTGTTTAACTTTTGGCTCTGGGTTCAATTCTTTGACAGAACTCCCTACAGACATAGAATTCCTGGAAGCCATAACCAGCGCTTTGAGGGCTCTCCTACAAACAATGGCATCAAAGAACATCTCCCAGGTAAAAGCTTTTCAAACTCAAATTCATGTGAGATTGTGCTGGAAAGTTTTTGAAACAAAACCATTTAAATGAAGTGCTAAATTTCAGCAACGTGAGCACTGAAAGGACAGGTTTAATAGCATTCATTTATCTTTTTCATGGACCTTACAGGAATACTTTTTTTATATATCTCCTCCTTAACAAGTAAAAAGATGAAAAGTATTTCAAAACTAAAATAGCAGTTAAGCCACAGGTAGCATCTTTAGGAGATGGATATAATGACAAGCAGTTACTGAATTAGCACCTAGAAATGTGGATTATTTCCTGATGTCATTTAGTTGAAGCTAGTCCTACTTCAAGAATCTTGGTTGGATGTGAATTAGTGAGCTAAATATAGGAATGAAGCATAATAGTTTGTTATACAAGATGTAATACTATATGGTCTGCTGGTCCTTTCTGGCTTTAAACTCAAAAATGTGCTTGTATACTATAAGTTTAGTTGTAATGAGTTGGAAATAACTATTGAGCTAGGTAAAGCTGTGAAAATCCCTTTGGGCTCAGAACTTTTTCTTTTAGCTTCATGACAGCCTTGGTTATGTTCTGGAAGAAACATCTTAAGAAGCTGAAAGGGATCGTTTAAGTGTTTTCTTGCTCGATTACATTTTTAGAGTTCATGTAATTTTCATAATACAGGACTCTGTTTCTGTGTTATGAATTTGCCTATGTTCTGTAAAAGCAAATAATCTAAATGCCATGTTTAAAAATTTCCAGGAAAATGTAACTATGTCTATCTTCCTTCTTTTTTTTTTACCTTTTTTTTTTTTTTCCCTTGTTAATCAGTGTATGACTCCTGAGCAGCTGTTGGCTTTATGTGAAGCTGGTATTCACAGCAGCAATGCCAGTGTTAGAGTGAACGTAGTGAGCATCCTTGGAATTTCTGGCAGCGTCCTGGCAAAAGGGCAAGACACAGCTGAGACACTAAAGGTGAAAAAAAGCAAACTTTGCATTACAAACCTAAAACAGTTTTGATACTTCTTTCCATTTTCTTAGACATTGCTGGAAACAATCAATTTTTCTTTCTTGTTTCAGATGATTGGAAAATTTCTTCTTGAGGTTGCTATGAAGGAATCTTCTCTTGTGGTAGCAGGGGAAGCCTTGGATGCACTTTTTGATGTATTTGCAGACGGTAAAGAAGCAGAAAAGGCAGCAGTACAGATCAAGTTGCTTCCAGCACTGAAAGAATTTCAGCCAGTGTTCAAAATGAGGGTAGGCATCAAACGCAGCCAGCTCCGGATCTCCACACACACTGTTGGTTAAAGCTTTGAGATCTGGGCAGCTAGAAGAGATAATTGAGCAGGAATGTATGGCTTTACAAGATGACCAAAAAAGAAAAAAAAAAAAAAAAAAAAAAAAAAAAAAGAAAACAAGTAATTGAATTTGCCATATTCTGCTTTAGAGGAAAGCAATTACATTTACCTTGCAGTTCATGGCACTATCCAGGTGGCAGCACAGCATCTGCATTGCAACATCTGCATTACACCATCAGCACTATTGATGTCCAAATCACTGTATTGTTCTGAAACCCGTGTAAAGAAAAATCCTGCAGGTGTCTCTGGAGGGGAACAGCTACAGTAGTGGGAGAGAAGTCACTTCTGAAGTTACATTGACATCTTTTGTTTTTGCCTTGCTGTAGCTGCAGGTGGACGTTTTTGTTCTGTTGGCAATTCATTTAAATGGATCATGTATCCTCTGTTTTCAAGAATCACAAGGTCAAAATTCTAAACTGTAATCTTAAGTACATCCTTGTCTTAAATAGAGAATGACCTTCAATATGTTGTTTATTTAGATGAAGCCTCAGGAGTGACTTTCATAATTCTTAAAGCTAAGCACTATATGTGCAAAATACATAACTGGCGGTGCTGCTGTTGTTTGGTTACTTAGATGTGCAAGGTCTTTCATATAAAAAGCTACAGAAAGTAAGTGCGTGTTTCTGATTCTGAATGAATTATCATGCCAATAATAGTCTAGTTTTAGGTAGAGGTGTATTACAGTAAATTGACTCGCAGAAGTAATTGCTAGGTATTCATGTGACGTGAACGTGTTGGGAGTTTTCAAAAGGCAGGGGTAGCACCTGTGATAGAAGGCATACATACAATTACTAGAAACGTTAAGTGATTTAATAGAAGAAACTTCTCCATTGATAAAGTATGTATTTTTTTGGTTTTACAGATACGAAAAGAAGGCAAAGGACAATATAGTACAGATCAGCTGTGTGTTCTTGACAATGTGAAGATGAATTTGAGAAGATTCATTGCATATCAGGAGACACTAGGGAAAACCTCAACTTGAAACATCGAGGGACTTCAAGGTTTCCCTTATTGAATAATGTTTTCTGAAAAATATATCCATTTTGAACTTCTAAAATTTATTGAGCAGAGCGGTTTTGCTTTCATGTTAATACTGCATTTTTTTTACGTTCAGTATTTTTATACTTCTGGGTTGATGCAATATGAAAGTCACATCAGTGTAAAAAAAAAGGGCACACTTGGAGGTGAAGTGTCAGCAGCAATAAGAACGTGCTCTTGCAGTCCTGAGGTCTGCATGTAGCACCATTGCCAGCGTTTAGAAATCCTCACCTACCCTGGCGGAGACCTGTAATGGCACAAAAAAGTAATTTAGAGAATATTCTCGGTTATGTGCCAGATCAAGAAATAAATTTTAAAAGCTGGAGATACTTTTCGGGGGATTGAGAAGTGACGGAATGTTCATATTTGCTCTTAACCTATTTCTAGAATGGCACAGGCACTTATGGCAAGCTTCCCAAGAGAAGTGTGTGACAAGTGTGTAGATTACTGTCACCACTCGGATCTGTTACTTCATGAGGCTTATCAAAAACTGTTGCAGATTCATTTAAGATAACTTCAGTATGATAGCTTTGTGCTGTGGAAATCAGTGTAAGAGGATCCTACGCTTATACGCGGGCTCTCCTTTTTTTTACTTGATTTTGACTGGTATTCTGAAGATCGAGTCTCCTGATTTACTTTCTTCCTTGTAATTCTGCATCAAGATGAATTTGAATTCAAGGAAGGAGTAAATCTAATAAAAAGGTATTTTTTTTTTATACTGAGGGTTTACCTAAAGTAACTTTATAACTGCTTAAAATATCTTTTTCAAATAATTGTGACAGAGATTTTTAAGCTGTAAAATACAGAAACTATTTTCAAAAAATGTCACAGGCTCATGAAAATCGTATGTGAACTTCTACATATCAAGAGCTTTGGTTTTGTTTCTGTGAATGAGATCTTCTCATATGCATTTTTTTTTTTAAGGGGAAAAACCACAACCCACAACCAAACACAAAAGCATTTTTTTACACTGATTTTTGAAATGGGACTTCCCCCCCCCCCCGCCTTAACGTGGTGCCTTAACACAGGGCATCTAGTTTTTGGCAAAATTAGGCATAGAACTACAATGTCCAAATTTGCTCGGTTTGTTAGATTTCAGTCTGTTAGATTGGAAAGCAGGCTCAGGAACTGCCCGGAGAACTTGCAAATGGCTGACTTTATGAAATCCTGGAGTCCGATATTTTGTCAAATGCAAGAGAAAGTGACAAATGAGTTTAAGCAGCCGTCCTGCCTGGGAGTCCTGCTGTTGCTTTGCAGGAGTTGGATGCAGCCTGTGCTGTGATGGAATGAGCGAGTGGAAGTGTGGGGCTGGGATGGCTCCAGGGCCATCGAGCCTGGCCTGGAGAAGTCCTGAGGAGCACAGAGAGGCTGAAAGGTTGTCCTGGGATTTGGCAGGGGCTGGCAGCGAAGAGGGCTGGAGTGTAACAAGTGAGGAAAGAGTAGCTAGGTGGGTTATGGCATAAGACTGGCACAGATTTTAATCCCAGTGATAGTTATACTTGCTGTACATGGAGAACAGTGTAACATTAGCTTGATAAAAGCCATTAATATTTGGAGCACTTAAAAGGACTTCCACGTGGAAAGTCCTGATGTCATTTTCTGGGCGCTACATTGAATTGTGGGATGATGTAGGTTGGAAAGGATCTCTGGAGGGCTCTGCAGTCCCCTGCTCTGCTTAAAGCAGGACATGGAGTCAGGTGGGTTGTGCGAGGCCTTGAGCGTCTCCAGGGATGGAAATCCCACAGCTCTGGGCAGCCTGTTCCAGTGTTTGACTGACCTCACTCTGAACACTTTTTTCTTTTCCCCCATGTAGCTAGTGGGGCTTCTCCCTGCTGCAAAATGCACCCCTTGTCCTTTGCACACCACCAAGAAGAGTCTGCCTCCCTCTCCTCTTACAAGCTCCATTTGGTAGTGGAAAACAACAGTTAATTCCCCTCTTCTCCAGGCCAAATAAACCTGGCTCCCTCAGCTCTGAAAGTTGCAGATAAATATATAGAAGGTAGGGCATCCACTAGAAAACCTGGTTTTCTTAATATAATTTATAAGACCCTGTTTTTTTCCTTCAAGTGAAAAGACAGATTGTCATTTAGACAATGTCTTAAGACTATTCCAGCAGTAGGAATGCATGGATTGTTTTTGCTATGCGCTAATAAATTGAATCTCTTAAAAAAAAATAATATCATTTATGTCGTAATAAGATACATGCAGAGTATGAACCGTACTGCTTGCAGAAGTATATGATTTTTAGTGCTTAAAATATTTGCTTTTATCTTCTGGTACACATGCCAGCTAATAGCTGAAAGAGAAATGAGGACATGCAAAGGTATTTTGGTTTCTTGTGAGTTTGTATTACAACATAAAAAACCTAAAATCATCCCTTCACCTTTGTTTCTTCTGAGGAGATGGGAGCACTTTGGTGGGCCTGTTTGGCTGAGGGCACGAATCAGTGATGAGCTGGTGGCTCTGTCTCCAGCTCACCAGATACGTTTGGGTTGGTGGAGGGGTAAGCTGTAGCTCTTGGGAGAAGTTCTTGTTGTTTTGGTAACCTCATTGCTAATATTAATGATGGTTTTACTTCCTAACACCCCATGTTGTATTGCCCTTACCAGTAGCCCATAGCAAAATGGAGCCCTCGTCTTCCTTTGGGGTTTCTATGTTATATACTTAGAACAATTGGCTGTCTATGTATTTTGATGTCCATACTTTTATTTCTCTGAATGAGAAAAATCTTACTCCACCACCCGCCCAGCTACCAGTTTAGTGCAACTTGCTCTTGGTGTCTAATGGGGGGCTTGTGGCTGAGTGAGAGGTAATAATTTTGTATGTTAATTTTAGAGAGGGTATTCTGCTTGTAAGGGACAAGATACAAGGTAATAGGAAAAACATGGAAGATTTCTGAAGACTTTTGTCTGTGGAAGACAAGGCAAGTTATCAGTGACTTAAAGAAGGGTCAGATCAGGGTCTAAACCCAGATGAGATTTTTAAGTGCAGAAGAGCTAGGCTGTAAGATTTGAGCTATAAAAGCTGTTCTGACACAGTTAAAGAAAATCAAGGCAACAGCAGAAGTGATGATGTGGTGCAGATTAAATGCTTTGGGGGCTCTTTGGGCACTAGTTTATTTAAATAGGTTTCGGGTAAGCGTGAGACCAAGGCAAGATCCTTGACATCCTACAAAGGCAAAGCCAGATCTTGACACTTGGAGGGTGGCAGAAGTTGGACTGATGCAGACAGCGTGCAGCGTAAGTAGATATAAGTGATCTTCATCGGTTGGTGTCATCACACAGATAAGGCTGGTATCAAAACAGGTATCTGAAGCCCAATTTGTTTGCTTACCCTGGTCCCTGAGGCATCGTCTGTCTGTGCTTCAATTAAAAACGGCAATCCTTTGAAAGTAGGGATTGCTGCCGCTTCTGTCTCCCTCTCTGACACCGAGCACAGCAGAACCTGGCTCCCAGTGGAGGTTTTGGATTGAAGTCGGTCTGTGGCATTAACTGAGAGTGTCAAGAGGGCTGTGTGCTCCCTGCCCTGCTCCCAAGCTGTAACACCAGTGACATTCGCTGCTGCTTCGCCCTCTCGGCAGCTTGAAAAATACTGAATCCCCAACTGCAGATAAGGAGTTCTCATCGCTACGTGGTTTTATTTTTGCTCTCTTATGAAAAGAAACAAGTTTTAAATAAGTGTTTGTTGTGAAATACTTCTTACACGTCATGCCTTGGCATTCAGGAGATGGCCGTATACCACATTATAGCCAATCCTTTAACTATTTGGGGTTTGTGGTGAGTGTTGAAGGTATTTTTTTACCATATTTTTAAAATTTTTTTAAAGATTGTCATTGTAGAGGAACTAGAATAACTTCAACCAGTACCACTTGGCTTGTTTTTGCATTTGTATTTTGAGAGAAAATATAAAAAGAATCAAAGCACAGTAAAACTACAAAATGAGAACTGTGTCGGAGAACAAATTAATTTAAAATCCGTTTGTAGTTTAAGTATTACAAATGAAGTGCATATATTGTGGAATATTAACATAAAACAACCAACCAAAAATGTGCATAAATTCAAGTTCTGTTTCCTTAATAAGTAATTTTCAGTGAAAGCATTCCCAGAGGATTGGATGGAAACGTCTCGCCTTACACTTACTGCTGCAAATTCAAATATCAGGCAATGGTAGTGGTGTAATTGAAAATAATGTAATTGTTCCTTTCTGGCACAGATGAATTGAGCAAACAATCTAAATATAGTTTGCGCTGGGCATTCTGTTAAGATATAGAACATTAAGATAATTGGCCAAACTTGAAAACTCTTGACAGTTAGAGCAGATTAAGGAACTTGAAGATTTTCCACACGGGCTGAAGCACGGTGAGCCTTTCCCTTTGAAGAAGCTTTTACTCAAGAGGTGGGTTTTTTTTGTCTAATTTCCAAACAAATTCAAACTGTTAACTTTTTACCTTCTGGGAAAAAAATAGCACGTATTTAAATCAATTCACTCTAGCTTAATTTTGTTTTGGTGTTATTTCTGTGAGAGGCATTTTATCAGACATAATTTAGTGGCCGCATAAAACCACAGTTTGAGGCTTGAGGATATGGTAAGAGGCTTGTTCTTCTTTCGAATCTGGGTGTCAGGAACTACTTGCTTTACTGTTATGTTTAAGGGCTTAAATCAAAATGCTTGTGAACCAGAATAAGATACTGCTACGTCGTCTCAACAAAACAGAGGGTCCCCATGTAGCCCAGGGGCTGCGCGGCGCTCACAGAAATACCTACACCACTTCTAAAGATGCTTTGGGATTTCGGTACAACTTCTGGTTTCGTCTTCCTTTTTTGACAAGAATCTCGATGAGGATTCCTTGTTCTCTTTCTCCTCTGACACGGATTTTTTTTTTTTTTTTTGAACTTTTAAGGAAAATTGCATTGGCCTCTTCCCCGCCCCTCGATGGGGAGTGAAAGGCACTTCCAGAATTTAACTGAAGAATGGCTGATTCAGCCAGAAAACGCATGATGTTTCTAAATAACCTTTTTTCTGAGAAGTTCCCTTTTTAGTAAGGAAAAGAGCTAAAGTTCAAAGTCATGATTAAAAAACATTGCTTTGACCTATCCAAGTGGTGGGGGTTCTTATGTTTGTTTTGGGTTTGGGTATTTGGTTTTTTTTAATACCCCACAGGTAAACTCCCTAATCTTGAAGCCTTTGTGGTATCACACCCCCTGTGTTGTGTCCTGGTTTTATTTGTGTGGGACTGGGGTTGCTGCTGAGGAATCCTGTAAATTAATGAACCTCAGTCCTACAACAAAACTTGTTTACATTTACATGCTATGACTGTAGAACAAATCATTGGGCTTTACAGGATTAGCTTTTTTTTTTTAAAAAAAAAATTTTTCCTGTTACTGTTATCTCCTTAAGGATAACATGAAATCCTTTATCAGTTATGCTCAGTTTTCTGATATTTTTTTTAAAGTTGTTTACGAATTGAAACCTTTTTATGTGCATCTTTGATGTAAGAGGAGCACCAGGTTAGTAATTTTCTAGTTGCCTTTTTCTGGGATGTTTATAATGCTCAGAATAACTGAAGAGTGTGGGTTTTGGCAAATAGGGTTATTCAGGTTGGTGGTTCTCCAGTTCCAAGCTGTGCTGAAGTTCTACTGCTTTTCCCTTGGCTTTGGTTGGTCGTTTTAGGTACAGACCCTAATTCTCAAAGCCAATTACTCAAGTCTGTCAACTCAAAAGACCAAATTTGCTGTATGTGAGTTTCTCTTGGGCGGTGCAGATCAGACACCCTTGTGACCAAACCGAAGAGGGCTGTGAGGACAAAACGTCCTGCACTTGGTGGGGGAGAAGCCAGAACTTCTTCAGCCTTTTGGCTGGCGTGGGGAAGTGGTGCTCAGGCTCCTTCTTGGCAAACTGTCCGGAGAACGGACATGGGGGATGCGGTTTTCTTTTTTAGTTCCAAAGCCTCCACCTTCCTGAAGAGAAGTCCTTTCCCATGGAGTTTGGAAACCCATGGAGTTTGGGAAGGGTGGGAAACACCAGCCCCTCCCCATGTGGTGTGCTGGAAACTTTCTAGCTGGTGTTATACGGCAGATGTTTGACGGCTGTAGTATGAAAACGCTAAAAATAAAAGGGATTCTGAGCAGAACTCCTACTTTTTGGCATTGCTGTGCTGTGGGGGTGCCCTGTGTCCCCCCAGCAGAAGCACTGGGGCTGTGACTCTCCCCGGTGTGTGTCCCCCCCCTCCCCGGGGAGCTGAGAGAAGGGCAGGGAGACCCAAAAGTGGCCGTAACCATCCCCAAAACCACTTGTTTTGGTTTTTTTTAGGTGCCGGTGTTGTGGGAGAAGGGTAAGGCTGGAAGACCTCGGTGTCTCTGGTGGTGGTGGGGGATGCCTTCACACAGGGCTGGGGAGAAGCGGCGCCCCCACAGCGCTGTACCCTCGCCCTGTACCCCGGGGGAGGGCGGCGGAGGGTGTGTGTGGGGGTTTGTGTGTGTGCGTTCCCCCGTTCCCGGCGGTTGTGGGGCGGGTGACAGGCCGGTGGCCAGGCCGGGCCTCCCCCTCGCCCTCCCGCCCGC